TTGTTCTTCAGTTCCTTGAGCTTAAGAAATGCTGAACGAGTTCGGCCCTTTTGATTTTCTGACTCCAGCTCTTTGAACATTTCATTGTAATATTTTGCTTTGTCACCCATGCTGTCTTTTGGAATCTTCTATTCTGCTCTTGAATTCTTGTATCTTGAATTCTTCCTTCTGCTTTGGCTTCTCTGCACTCCAGTGCAATATTCAGAGTTTCTGTAGCTTAGCTTTTTCCAGGTTTAGGGTTTTGTATTTTGGGGGGGTTATACCTTTTTGTTGTTGTTGTTTATTAAGGGCAATGCTATCACATGAACATCCTTATCTGTGTTTCCAGCAGATCACAATTCCTGCAAGTAGCATTGCTAGAGTGATGACATAAGAACCTAAAATCTTAAAAGATGCTGCCGAGTAACTAAAATGTTCGGAGGTGAGTCTGGAGTCCAATCAGGAGCACTCACGAACCATAAAAGGCTTACATGTGAAGCAATAAGGTGGTGTTTTGTTTTGTTTTGACTTGGGTTCAGGGGCGTTGAGGTCTCAAATTAGAAGTTAGGAGCTTCTACTGTTAGTGGGGGGTTTCTCTACAGAGGTTGGTGGTGGGTTCAGCAGATCACCTGAGAAAGTCTTGGCTGGACAGTGTTCTGTTGGAACTTTTTCTTATCTTGCGCATATAGTCTTGGGTCAGCTCATTTTCTGTGGTCTTCCTGGAACAGGCAGTTCTTCCCCCACCCCCCAATTCAGCTCTCCACTAGTGCTTGAGCATCCCGGAATTAGGGGGAGGGCTTTATCTGAGAAGCAGAAATTCTAGCAACAATGAAGCTGTTTTCTTTTACCTATCATTTCTGTCCTTCAATGGCATACAGGTGAGGGAGTCTTTTAAAGGTATTTGTTGTTGTTAGGTGACATCCTGTCGAGTATGACTCATAGCAACCCCATGAACAAAAGATCTGAGCCGTGACAGAATAAGAAGTCCAAGATTCCATGGTGGGTTGTAAAAGGGAGGAGGCTAAAGTAACTGAGACATGGGGACATTTACGTGGGAGAGAAGGGAAGAGCATTCCTGACACCTCTCTGGTGTAAACAGTGGAATACTAAAATACCTCAGCAGGCACAAGTAGACAGAAGCATGGTATCCAAGACCCGGAAAAGGGGAGATGTGCGGCAGGTGTGTCTTCTGGTGCTTTGGTGTCTGCTCCTAGAGGGGACAGTCCCTTCTGAGAAGCCTCAGGGCTGTGAGAAGATCCCTGCTTCTGTAAATTGACAGGAGGTCACATCCATGAACGGGAGAATGTGTGTAAGATCAAGGCTTGTTCCAGACACGTGCCTATAATGACAGGTATGGGAGAGGGAAGGGAACAGAAGAGAAGCGAAAGCACAACCTGGTCCAGACCAATCCAGACAAAAGTGGATTCGGGGAGGATTCAAGGAGAAGATGCTTTTTAAAAAAGAAGAATCTGGGACTTAATCATTCCCAAGATTCAGTCAAGCAATCTCACTTTAATCCTTAACCAAGTTACAAAAACAGCTCTTTAATCTTTTCCTCTGGTCCTTTAAGACCTGTGGTAAATTTACTATTCTGAGAAGCTGATTTTAATTCAGAATAACTGTTGACTCTAGAACTCTCTTTCTCCTCAAGGATATTAACTATACCTCAGTATAAAAGTGAAGTATAAGGGGAGCTCTGGTGGCCTAGTGGCAAGAAGCTGCAACTACAATCCCAGAGGTGCACGGTTCGAATCCACCAGATGCTCTGCCGGGGAAGGGGGG